CCACAATCTGATCCATAGCAGTAGCTTTGGAGACTATGGAGGCAGGATGCCTGGTATTTCCTCACAGTTACCAGAGTTTAATGAGTTTAAGCAAGTCATTGTCCAGCTCTGGGTTTTCATTTCCTCCTATACAGGTTAATGTAAATCTCACTGAGTTTTTATAAGACTCAAATTAAGAGATCAGGAATCAAAATGCTTTGATAATGGTATAAATATTATCTGCCTAAGTCATTATCCTTTACTCCTCTGTATCACTGTTAATAATCTAGATCACAGGAATGCCTACTGCTTCTGTATCATTTACAGGAAATACATCTCAGACTCCTAAGCCATAAGCAGCATGCTGGTGGCTTTGAAGTCCTCTCTTGAAGATCTGGGGCTATGTTACGAACAGCAGAAGAAAAGTCCCTCTTGAAGGTGAACTGGGACTCAGATAGGGCTTTCTGTGACACCTACAGCTTTGTCTCCATGAGAGCTTTTTATTTTTTTTAAACAGTCTTGTTCTGTTACCCAAGCTAGAGTGCAGTAGTGCGATCTCGGCTCACTACAACTTCTGCCTCCCAGACTCAAGAAATTCTCATGCCTCAACCTCCTGAGTAGCTGGGACCACAGACATGCACCACCATGCCTGGCTAATTTTCTTGTGTTTTTTGTAGAGACTGTGTTTCACCATGTTGTCCAGGCTGTTCTTGAGCTGTTCAGCTCAAACAATCAGCCTGTCTCAGCCTCCCAAAATGCTGGGATTACAGGTGTGAGCCACCGTGCCTGGCCAGTTCCTTTAAGGAAATGCTTGTGTGTATTTTTCAGCAGTTGACTGGTTCAGAAGCATGAAATGAAGCCATCAAAATGTCTCCCAGTTTCACTTGAGATGTACGGGTTGTTGTTGCAGGGTTGTAGCCACGGTCTTTCTTTCAGAGTGGCTGGACCAAGATTAGGAAGCTTAGGCAACAGCGGGTGCCAGACAAATGTCAAAATGCATCCAAAAGTGGTTGCAGAGCTTAAGCCACTAGAAAGAGTTCCTAGGACCTTTGCTAACCCCATTGCCAACTTGCAGTCACACAAGAGGGCAGCACCCCTTGCTGCCAAGAAAACCCTGTGGGCCATTCACACAGGCACAGTTTCTAGAACTTTCACATCTCATTTTCAGCAGCAATCTGAAGACCAGACTAGCACCAGCTCCAAGGTACTTGTGCACAGATGCTCTGTTTCACCAAAAGTCCTCTTATGGTGATATACAGTCAGTGTAGAACTCTTAGAAAGGTGCCTGATGCCACAGGTTCTTCTGGTCTGTGACCTTCAGATAGATTCTTCTGACTTTCCTGGCACTCACAAGCCAGTACAGGTCAGGAGTGGGCTGGAGGCCAAAACACCTTTACTGGATAAAGACAACCGATACCAAACTAGTCTGGGTCCTAAGACCTCTCCCCAACAAGGCCTCAGGCTACTTCAAGAATTATGAAGACAGGACAATACAGCAGGTGAGAGGCCAAATGGAGTCCTATTTCTCCCACTGTGGTGCAGAAAGAAGAGCAATTTAACCTAGTCATTGAACACAGAGCCGTCAAGGATGTGTGTTTTGGTCCTAACATTGTCCAATGGGTTGGCTGCATAACTCTTAGGTGGATCACTTAACCTCTGTGTCTCAGTTACCACATCTTTCAAAGGGGAATGAGAAAGAGGCTTCCTCATAGCATTGCTAGGATAAAGAGATAAAATTAAATAATCCATATAAAAATGTATGAAAAAATTAGAACGATACTATACAAAGTATTATCAAAATGTTGTTGGCTATCCTTGAGCTTTATGCCCTCCACCCTGCCCAATCTCAGCTCCAAGGCAACAAATTCCCTCAAATACAAAGCCCTTTTCCTTATTGCAGTAGTTTTGTGTACAACCAGTGGCTCTCACTGTCAGGGTTGATCTCTCTCTGCCAACCCAAAGGTTCCTCTAAGCCAGGATGACAAACTTGAGGATCCTTTTTCTGGGAGTTCAAGCCATGAAAAGCCTATGAAACACCTGAAGAATGCCAGGCCATCTGACCCTCCAAACCTCTACAGGAACCTCTTTTAATAAGGGGCAGGAGAAGCTCAAAATGAGAAGTTAGAGTTCCTAGGACCTTTGCTAACCCCATTGCCAACTTGCAGTCACACAAGAGGGCAGCACCCCTTGCTGCCAAGAAAACCCTGTGGGCCATTCACACAGGCAGCATTGACTCCATGCATGTGACTCAGCTCCTTTCCTCTGCTCTGTGTATAGGAACAGAACTTAACCTCATCAAATGAGAAGCAGCATTTTCTGCATGGCTTCCACTACAACTAAGCACTGGCAATGAAATCACCTTTGCAAAAATGATATAAGTGAGAAAATTATGACAGTGAAAAAGATCTGATCTAACCTACCCTCCCCAACCCTTGCCTTTCCCTTAATCATTCCTGGGCCTACTGTAGATTGGCCTTTTGAGATATCTTTTCAAGTTCTGAGCATGTCTGACATCCATGGCTTTACCCAGACCCATCAATCCCACTCCTGTGGCCCACCCAGAAGCAACTTAGCTGAAGTGGACAGCTTTCACCCACAATTTCATCTCCATCCCAACCAATCAGCAGCAAGCACCCATTTCTAGCCACCCCTTCCCCAAACTGCCTTTTAAAAATCCCAGCCTCACATCAACTAAACTCTTTCTCTACTGCAGTGCCACAGTCTTCATTTGTGCAGCAGGCAGGAAGAACCTGTTGGCTGGTAACAGCAATTCTCATGCTTGCTTCTGAACTACTGACATCTAGAACTAGCTGCCTTCAGGTCATCTTCTAATGTGTCCTCTATAAAAGAACATCAATAATTCAAAACTTAACTTCTTCCCCTAAATATGCCCTTTTCCCCATGCTCCTATCCCAGTGGGTCAAGACAAATCCACTGGGATGGGAACATGGGGAAACACCCGGGTAATAAGCCAAAGGGCTTTGTCTGCCTTACCTATCATCAATCAGACACTGAGACTAGGACTACTATGATCTGATATCTCTTGAAATATTTGCTTCCTCTTTATTCCCACTGCTACTGATTTCATTCAGCCTGCTGTTTCTCCTCTGTTCTATTCTGGTCTTCCTTACTAAAGCTAAAGTGATCTTTCCAATTTAATTCAAACCATGTTCCCCCTTTCTGGAAGTCCTTTATTTACTCCTCACAGCCCCCAGGACTGAATCCCAACCCCAAATTATAATTTATAAGGCTTATAACCCCTCTGGTTTCAATCCATCCCATTCCTCAGTGCATCTTGTGATCCTATCAAGTCAAATTAAAAATTATCTGAAGCCCCCCTAATTGCCCCAGGCTTTCTCTCACTCCTGAAGCTTCCTAGTTGCCATTCCTTTTGACTCTTTGTTCTATCCCTCCACCCTTTACTAGACCAGCTTCTCCTCTTTGAAATGTCAGCTTAAAATAATGTCCTCTAAGAAATCTTCTGTCAACAGCCCCCTCTCCCAGAGCTTGGTGTTCCACTGGGGTATACCACAATGACTATGACAGCACTTTACCACAATTTATTATTGTTGCTTAACTGTTTCTTTCACTAGCCAGTAATCTCCAGCATGGGACAATCTTATTCACCAATGTATGCCTGGCACCTAGCAGAATATGCGGCACATACTTGGAGATTAATGTGTATATACATATACATATATATGTATGTGTGTATGTATACTATATATATAAAACGTTCAATGAATAAACAAATGGATGAATGATTAGGTGGCTGGCCCAAATACAAGAAGTTAAACATCTAAGAGCCACAAAGGGCCAATCTACAGTACCTCAAGGGCCTCTACGCCAAGCCATTTTCAACAGGGTAGGACAGGAACAGACAAAAAGCCTAGAGAGTCACTAGCAATTTCCAAGTTGACATTTCATTTTTGCCATCCCATCTTTTTTCTAAACTCTTCTCAAATACTATTGAGACTGACTGATTTAAGACATGCACTGCAATGGTATAGTTAGGCAAACTTGGTGAGGGGCAGGTACACTGAGCAACCAGCATAGCTGCGCTGCAGGGCCAGAGGGATGCAACAGGGCTGAGGCTACAGGCAGAGAGGGTTCAGAATATCTGACAGAGCTTCAAGTCCAGGGCTGGGTGGAGGCACTGGAGGGCTGAGGGCACCAGGCCACAGAAGGCAATAGGGTAAGTGGAACAGGACCAAGGGGCACTAGATAAAATAGGTGGAGGACATAGCACAGCACTGAGGCTCCGGCTAGACATATGACAGGGGTTGGGGGTGAAGGGGCAGCGGTAAGAATAGACAGTTGAGGATTTGTAGGGTTCTGGGTTATGTCCAGAGTAAGCGAACACTTTTAGCAAGCTGTAGGTGGGTGGACAGAAAGGTCTCCAAGTGCTCATCTTCAAGAGATCTCAGTGTCTCAGCTACTCATCTACCTCTGCAGAACATCCCTGCAGACCACTCACCCAACAAATTTCACTGAATCAAATCTTAAGGTCAGTTAACTCTGGGTTGTGGTGGCCACACAAAATATATTCCCCATCTTCATTGCAGAGGGAAGTTCAAGCTTTGGATTCTAACTGATCTGTTTTAAAACCTCAGCTCTCTCTTCTACTAGCTGTAGGGCCCTGGACTTCAGTTTCCCTAGCTATACAATAGGGGATGCTCACTTCCACAACTGTTGGAGGTGAGGTGAGTTAATGCTCGTGAAGCAGCATACACAGTTCCAAACACAGAGTATGTGTTTAATAAATTGGCCTTCTTTCCCTTCCCCCTTCTACTCTGCACAAAGCCCAATAGGCCCCATTGTGTGTGGGGGAGTAGAAATGGGTGATGAGGAAGATCTATGTTGTTGACTCACTAGGAGAGAAGGCATGAATCAGAGCTGTGTAGCATCCAGGGATGGAACAGAGACACTCCTCCCCCCACCCTATCCTCCTCCTCCAGGTGCCCAGGGCCTTGGCCAGCAGTGGGTTCCATGTGGTCAGGGAAAACAGGCTCCTTTAGTACCTTTCTCACCATATTTGGAGAGGAGTTCTGGATGGTGCTGTCCACTTGGGGGACACTGGGAGGGGCTTCTTCCCCAGACACCTGGGGCAAGGCAGCAGTAGTATTCTTGTCAAGAGGGAGAGCCGATTTTGAGCCCTCGGATATTGGGGGCTCATCTGTAGCCTGGAGAAGAAAATAAGAATTTGGGTGGGTTTTACTGCAGAGAGTGTAGCAGCAGTACTGCTGTTGCAGCAGCAGTGGCAACAAAGGCTAGAACCCACCCTGCCCTGCCCATCATAACCACCTACATACTGTGGACTGCTTATTTTCCAAAAAGAAAAATACTCTTATCCCAACTCTTCCAAAGACTACATGCTAGTGCAAAAGTCTTAGGATAGAACTTTGAGCTAATTTTGTGATGTTCACTTTAGCAATCATAACCTACTTTTGACTTACATTTTAGCTTGTGGCGCTCTATGAACCCTAGACCCTTCTCTGCCATCACATGGATTATTCTATATCTCCTCAAAAGAACTGGGCCTCAGAGGAAGACACTGAAGCATGATCTGAAGTTGCCAGTACTGAAGCATATATGTGAGGCCTTATATTCTATAATAAAGTAAAAATCTGTAAAGCTGCTTTGAAGATAAAAATGTGGTTACAGATTTAAAGGGGATACCACTATAGAAAAGGTGAGAGAAGGGTAGAGAGAAGAAGATAGAACAGGTGTTCTGGGGGTAAAAAAGAAAATCAAGAGCTAAGAATGAAGACGTGAAAAGCAGCAAAGATCCCAGGGTACAAACTGCACCTCTTCAACTGTCTTTTGGCTGAGAAAAAGAGGAGCAGCATCCAATATCCTCCTACAGAGAGAAGAAGACTTCTTATGTGGCATTACAGAAATGTCAGCAGACCTGGATCCAAGTCTTAGCTCTACCTCTCAATGTTGTATGATATGCAGACAGACTGCTAGCCTCCTCTACCTCTCATTTATACACCTATAAAGCACAGATGGTAATGCCTACCAAACAACATTGTTGATAGGATAAATGATATGGTGCATATAAAAAATACCCAGCTTAAGGTCAGGCACAGTGGCTCACACCTGTACCCAGCACTTTGGGAGGCCGAGGTGAGCCAATCACTTGAGATCGGGAGTTCGAGATCAGCCTGACCAACATGGAGAAACTGTGTCTCTACTAAAAATACAAAAAATTAGCCAGGCATAGTGGTGGAGAATCACTTGAGCCTGGGAGGCGGAGGCTGCGGTGAGCTGAGATCACGCCATTGCACTCCAGCCTGGGCAACAAGAGTGAAACTCTGTCTCAGAAACAAACAAACAAATAAACATTCCCAGCTTAGTAGAGGTAAAAATGTTTAAGTCTATACCTGTGCAGTATTATAAAATACTGCACAGCATCTAACATGGATCCTCACTCTACTCCTTAAGCTCTGCCCTTCCCCCTGTCTGGGATTCCTAAGGTCTGGCAAGGGATCTAGGGATATGACAAGAGACAGCCTCCCTTCTGCTCTGGCACTGGCAGGAGTTCAGCATGGCTCAGAAGGTACAATCGGTGGGCAGGTTCCCTACTGTCATCCAGGAAGACAGGGCTAAGCCAAGCTACTCTGGAGAGCACTGAGCCTAGATCTAAGTTGGGACTGGGTACTATGCTCTCTAGAGCTTTTCTGAGATGGGAGGTTGAGCCCAGGGTAGTTTTGAAATGTGAGGGTTGAGCTCAAGGCTGCTCTAAGGTGAAGTAACTGTATTCCTGTATACCGCCCTGTTTCCAGGGAGGCTGTGTTCCCTGATTGATCCTGGGATGGGCAGAGTATTTATGCAAAGTCACCCTGATGCTTACCTGCAGGGTCTCCTCCTGGCTCTGGGACTGGACAGGTGCTGGCTGCCTCACTATGTAGTTGATCTGCCCCACAATGGTTTGCTGCAGATGCTGAGGAGATTTGGTCTGACTCAGTTGCAGGCTGGGCTGTTGAGCCTGGAGAAGAAGCTCCAAGTCCTTCTGCATTTCCTCCAGCTCAAACTTGTGATGCATTATGTCCACGTTCTGAGAACAGGCAGGCCCAGGAGGGCTCTCATGCTGACTAGAAGCCAGATGCTGGGATGGAGGCAGAGGTGGGGGTGGCTGTTGTTGGGGAGGTAGAGGAGGTGTTGGAGGTGGCAGCTGCTGCTGTGGCTGCTGCTGAAAGTGACTGAGCTTCAGCTTCTGGTGGTGGCCAAACTGGACTTGGATAGTGGGTGTCTGTAAGGTGGGGTGGGTATGGGCTCCTTGCTGAACATCCTGTGGGGGAACAATGCACACGGGCTGGGAAGTCAGCTGCTGCCCCATCCGCTGGGGCATGCTCTCCTGCTCCACAGGGGGCTGGGTTTCCAGCCAGGGCTGCAGCAGCTTTGGTGGATGAGGGCTGCAGGCCAGCTCTTTCTCCCTAGGCAGCAGGGCAGAGCACTGCAGAGACCCCAGCTGCTGGGGCACCATCTCAGAGGGCTGCCTAAAACTGTGGGCTGGGTGCATGCTGGGTGGGGGGACCTGGCCTTTGAGGGAAGGTGAGACTGGGGAGCAGTGGGAGCAGCACACAGATGAGGAGCACACTGCTGGAGACTGGAACTTGTGTGGAGGGTGGCTAAGAGCCTCTTGCTGAGCCACTGGAGACTGGTGGCTTTGATAAAAGGGTGATGGCCCCTGTAAGCCTCCATAAGCAGGAGCATCTGCCCGGGACAGTTGTCCACCTTCAGTAGTTATGCAGCCTGGAAATGCAGAATAGAGAGTTTTTCAAAAGTTTTTCAAGTTGCTCCCACCTTGCTACTTCCTTCTCCCGGGACAAAAAGACCTCATTCAACAATCCTGTACCAGGCACAGAGATTAAGAAATTCAAGCCCTGATCTCCTAGACTCAGTCTAGAACACTGCCAGTAATAGCACCTGTATGGAGCTGCTTTGGGGGTACAGGATTTTTGAGAAATTAGCTCAGCTTTCACCAGATGTTCTGTCGTGACTCTGTTTCTGTCCCACTAGGAAAATCATAAGCTCCCTCAAACAGCACCCACTCATTTTTTTTTTTAACAGAATGGCCCAATCAGAGTCTGACAAAAAGAATCAACTTTAGGGTGGGGAAGGAATATGCTGGAAAGTAGCAAAGGGTAGAGAGTGATGTCTGGGACCAGTGAACAAGTCCCCAGATACAGGTGTGGGGAACTGTGTGTTGAGCAAGTAGGATGGAAGAGAGTAGGGAAGCTCTAATACCAGGTAGTACAATTTGGATCTGCATCCCCACTCAAATCTCATGTTGAATTGTAATCCCCAGTGTTGGAGGTGGCTCCTGGTAGGAGGTCACTGGACCACGGGGGCAGATCCCTCATGAATGGTTTAGCACCATCCCTTAGGTGCTGTTCTTGTGATAGAGTTCTCATGAGATCTGATTGTTTAGAAGTGTGTAACACCTCCACCCTTGCTCTGTTTCTTGCTGCTCTGTCCATGTGATGCGCATCTTCAACTTCTGCCATGACTATAAGATTCCTGAGGCCTCCCCAGAAGCTGAGCAGATTCCAGCATCATGCTTGCTTTACAGCCTACAGAATTATGAGCCAATTAAATCTCTTTTCTTTAAAAGTTACCCAGTCTCAGGTATTTCTTCACAGTGTAATGTGAGAACAGACTAATACACCAGGTCAGTGCCAGGCACCAGCACTGCCCCCTGAGGTCTCTAGGTCCCTTGTGCATGAGTGGATCTATGGCTAACTGAGTCTAATGAGTTAGCTTCTTCAGTCTAATGAGTTGGCTCCTTCATCTCATTATTTTGATGAGGCTTACTTACAGGAAGTCTGAGGTCCTTAAGGAAAGTGTGTTTTATTCATCTTTCGTTCTTTAGTGCTTAGCACGGGGCCTACACAAGAGTAGGTGGCTATCAAAGGTCTGCTGAGTTAAATCAAAGGAAAGAGGGAAGCAGAAAATAAACCTACATATCATTTGTCACTTTGCCAAGTTCAACAAACTTTCAGTAAGATTAACAACAGCCTCAAATGAAGGCAGCAGCTGGCGATCAGTTTAACAAACTCGTTAGTCTGTCAACACAGGCACAACTTCAAGCTGTCTACATTCTGCCTAAAGACTGAATGCCAACTAATGATTGCAGCAGGGAAGTAAAATGCACAAGGCCATGAATTATCTGCTTTACATCTCAACTCAAAAGGATATGTCTGTGTAACACACCCACATGCACACACAGTCTCACTGTTGCTGAGATGCCCCTGCTTGTGCCCACACATGTGTACTCTTGTGTGACCACAGAGACACACATCCATCTGTACTGCCACACAGCATTCTGGAGAGCAGGGTGACTGTCTTGTCTCCCCCTCAGCAACAAAACCAAGGTAACAGGACATTTATACAGAATGGTAAACTCAGATTTCAACTGGTCCTGATACAAAAGCCTATAATGCCATTGTTATTTAAATTCCTCAATCTCTCCTCCTCCCTTTCAAAAAAAAAAAAGGTTTGCTGAATGATTCCACGACCACTGGCAGTCTCAGGGAGTGCTTTCTCTTCGGCATATACTGACCTACCCAGTAAGGTAAATAAGCAATTAGGACAAAGCCCACAGGGTGAGTGGGCCTGGGTGGGTGGGCATAAGCTCACCAAGAGAAGCTAGCTGCTTGGTCCAGAAGTTAGGCTCCCAGGTGAATCTGATACTCCAAGGGGAGCCAGGATCTGTGTTACAACTTGTCTCCAGCAATCGCTGCATCTGAAACACAATCTGACAACAGGACCAAAGGTCATTTACTTGGGCATCTTGCACCTAAATAACAACTCCCCTTCCCTTACTCTTTGGACAGGCTGAAAGGCTAAGTCGTGGCCCTTTAACCTCTTGTTATCCTCCATATTCTCATTCTCATGCACCTTAGCGCCCACCCATCCTCCCAGCTGATCCCTTTTCTCTTATCAAGCCTTCTGCAACACCTACATTCTTATCCTTTTCAGGCCTCAAGTGATTTGTCATTCTCCTTCACGACAACATTGACTGGCAGCTCCATTTATTCTACCATCACCTCAATTTAAAAGCCTAGTGGGGGCAGACATTTTCTGAGCTCCCCATTGCTGTTCTTCCACTTACAGGTAGAACACCCTTCTGTCCTATTCAATAGCCCTCTTCCCCTCCCATCACTTTCATCTATTTCCTGTCACTAACTCTCCCATTTATCTAGGGCTTTGGCAAGTTTCCAACATACCCTGCCATCCTCTGGTTAACTAATGTCCCAACTAACATCTTGGCCTCTTATTTCATTGATCTCTTGCATGCAACCACCTTCACTTGTTTTCAGTTTAGTCACCATACCTAGACCCTATTCGTCATTTAGAACCATTCTACCTATGAGACCTTTGAACTCCAACAACCCACCCTGGTCATAACAAGTTTATGCTCTTTCAGAGTATGTTCTTCAACCTCTCCAAGCCCTGCTCCTTCAGTCCACAGTACCCCTCAGCTTCCTGTCATTTACAGTAATGATATCACTAGTGTCCTAATTCCCTCCCCATTGCCAACTCCTACCCTTAGGCAATCCAGCCATACCAAAGTCATGTTATCTGTGGCCATTTCAGTGATCCTTAATTTCAGCAGCCCCCCTCAGCCCTTTATGTTGTCACTCCTTTTCTTGTCATCTTTCTCTTCCACTTCACTCAATGACTGTTTAAAATCCTTACTTTGGTGCTACTTACCAATGTTTTAACCCTCTTATTATCACCTTCCATTTCACAGAGAAAAAAAGACACCATAAAGGACAAATTACCCCAAACTTGTATCCCTTCTACCTCAAATTAACTACAACATTGTCCCCTTCCTGTCCTCCCATCTTAGACAAAGGGACTGTCCTTGTGTTTAAGGCCACCAGTTCATTCTAGATCCTTCCTCCTGCTTTTTCAGTGTACTTACCCCACCACATACCCCTTCTCTCTATCTTCACAGCCTCTTCTCCCATATACATGTGTGCAGATGTTTTCCAATCTTAAAAAAAAAGTTTCCCCCAACTCTGCCATCTTCTCAGGCTACATTTTTATTTTTCTTCTTTTTGCTTCCATCTCTACTTCCTCACCACCCATCCTCAGTCTCCTGATTCTAGCTTTTGACCCTTCTACTTTGCTGGAGCTTCTTTCAGACAATAGCCTCATTCCCAGATCTGAAGCTCTTCACTATTCATCTTCTTTCACCCATGCAGCATTGACATATGGGCCACTTAAAACTGGAAACTCTGTTCATTTCTGTATATCACACTTTTTTTTGCTTCTGACCTCTGACCATTGCTTCTTGCTATCCTCCACTCATCTTCTTTCTCTGTCTACGCTGAAAATGATGGTATTCCCTGGTATTTCTCTCTTTTTGCTCCACACACTCTTCCAAGGTGATACCACTGATTTCCTGGTGACTCCTACATCTCCTTCTTCAAACAAACTTTTCTTCTGACTTCCACACACATATATTAAAACAGTTTTTTAATGGTAGGTAGCTTAGAGTTGGTTTTGGATGTTCTATAGGCACCTGAGATTCAAAGTATCCTAATATAAACTCCATCAACTTCTCTCAAAATTCTTGCTCCCTTTCCTAGGCACTGCCATCCTCTCAAGTCTCACACTTCAACCTTATCTCCAACTCCTTTTCTCTTAGCTCCCCATGTAAGCCCCAGTAACTTTCTATGAGATGCCCAGCACATTGCTCATGTCCAGGATAATGTCTGAATCACTGAACTACAACAAAGAACTACAGACTTTCCCAACTGAGCTACCTTCAGGAGGGCAGGACAATTTCAGCACCTGCGTCCTCTTTGCACTGTGGCATTTGGTTAAAGATACTGTTTACTTACTAACCCAAAAGCAGTGATTGAATTTGAAGGATGGATGGAGCCACTATCTTATTCCTCCTTCCATCCTAAAAAGAAAAGGCACTTCCAAAGACTGCCTCATTGCCCTTATGACAAAGGCGGTGCTCTGATAAGCTTCAAGAACAGGCTGAGGAGTTGGGAGATTCCTCTTACCAGCTCTTTGCTGAAAAGAAAAGGGACACTGGTTTTGCTGCAGACAGCCCAGTTGATGAAATTCTGCACATGCTCAAACTGACGGTTGAGAACCATGATGCTCTGTAACTGTTGTTCCAGCTTCTGCTTTCTCTCATTAGTAATGCCCTGGGTACAGAGAGAAGACAGAGTCCTTGATCCTGTTATTGGACTGTAGTCTACCTGCTTGGGAAGTCTGGTGGCCTGTGTGTCACTGATGGGATCAGATGAGATGATAGCCCTGAGATGACAGTAGGACAGAGTGCTGCCATGGGCTGCTGGATGATGGAAAAGGAGAGGGAGAGATGGTGGGAGATTGTATGGTGTAAACATAGAATGAGTAATAAATGAATGAGGAAATGAATAAATGTCTATATCTCTTGTGCATAAATCAGTGGAGAAGGTGGTTTGTTTTATGACTTTCTCTTCCAAGACTATAGACTATAATAACCCTGTGTAGTTAAGGATGAAAGACTGCCTAAGAGACATAGCATCAAAAATCAGTTTGAACTGATTTTCCAGCCCTTCATGAGCCACCCTCCTAAAATTAGACTGACATTTTGAAATACAGGGAGCAGCAGACAGCTATGGAAGCTGCACATCTGAATTATAGCCTAGGCTTCCCTGGGTCCTGGGACTAGTTTGATATGTGCATGGTTTCTGAACCATCTGGTCCCTCTGTCTATACGTACCTCCAATTCCTCTATAAGCCCATTGGCCTGTTTGTTCAGCTCATTCATCAGAACCATCTTGGCCATTTTGATCTGGTTTTCCACCTTCCTATGCTGATGCTTCACTTCAAAAATCCTGTAAACTCAATAGGACAAACCATGGTAAGCTTTCCTCATGGCCTATGAGGACCAAGAGACAGCAAACATAAGAACCAACCTGGAGGCTGCCTATTGAGATCAGGGCCCAGCAGACACCAAATATGTATATATATATATATATACACACACACATATACACACACACACATATACATAGAGAGAGAGAGAGAGAATCTTCCTTCACCATCCCCCCTTTTGTACGACCCAGTGCACTTGATCTAAGTGAGCCAATGGCCCAAAGTTCAGCTTGGTTTTCTCTAGGTAAACCTCAAGTCTATACCCAGGTCAACCAGTAGCCTACCAGTTGACACAGCACTAGAGGTAGGACTAAAAGAGAAAGTATGGGAATGATTTATTTTAACTTGTTGTTATCTTTAAATGGAGGATGCTTCAATAAATGTTGCCATGAGGTAAAAAGAGACAGAAAGTAGACTAGTGGTTTTGAGGGCCAGGGGGGTGTTGGGGGAATGGGGAATGACTAATAATGTTTATGTGGCTTCTTCTAAGAGAGATTAAAATGTTCTAAAAGTAGACGGTAATTATGTACAGTTGCACAATTCTGTGAACATACTAAAGGCCAATGAATTATACATTTTAAAAGAATAATTTTATGACGTGTAGATTATATCTCAATGAAGCTATTTTTAAAAACTTAAAAAGCACGGGCTTTGAAGTCACCACAGACCTAATGTCCAAACCCAGCCCAGTCACTGTCCAGTTGTATGATCTCAGACAAGTTACCTATCCTCTGTGAACCTCAGTCTCCTCCTTAGTAAAATGGAGATAATCCCTGACGGAAAGAATGGCAAGAACTGAACAAAATAATGCATACATAATACCCAAGCCAGTGCCCGCCACATAATGAGCTCTCTCTTCCTGAGTGTCTGCTTGGTACCCTTGTTCTCAAGCACTGACTTCCGGCTAGTTCATAAGGTGTATGCTTTGGGCCAGCTCACTCTGATCATCCTGACCTAGCTTGGCCTCAGTCACCAAGTGATGACTTGATGACAACTCCCTGGCCCTCAGACCTCTAAGGCCAAGACATATGCCTTTTAGGACATATGTCTACATCTGCTTAACCACATGTGCTCTTCACAGGCACTACATCTGATGGCCTGGTGTTGGAACTCCAGGTGTGCACGAACAGAGCATTTCCAGCACTGGCAAGGCACTAGCTGTACTACCTGTCCTCAATTTGCTTTGCAGATGTCTGTAGACTGGATTTCTTATGTGCCACCTGTGTAGTCACACTTTCCAGAAGCATCCTCTGGTTTTGCAAAACTTCTTCAACATGTCTGCACCTAAGGGATGAGGCAGAGAAAAGGCTGAGAAGGGCTGAGTCCTACTTTGAACATGCCAACCAAGCAGGAATCTCCACAGGGCACTGTCTCAGCCAGACCCATGGAAGCTATGATGGCTTCTAGGGGAAGTCTAAGGCACCACAGGCTCTTGGCCCAGTAGGCCTTTTCCAGAGAAGTCCCACAATAGGAGCAGAGAAAAACTTCAGCCCAGGGGCTGCAGGTTGTCTTGGGCAGAGAAAAGATTTTGATGAATGGGGAGCCCCAGAGCTCTCACAAGTAAGAAGTCCAGAGCCCTCCCCAGCCCATTTCAGGCAGTCTGTCAGCCCCACCTGTGTTCTTTATGTTCCACCATTAGGCAGCTATGGCATGTGAGCATATCACATGTCTCGCAGAATAGCTTGAGCACTTCCTGTGTGTGTAGAGGACAGTACAAGATGAAGTCTCCAGAACCACCATTCACTCCTGCCAGAGAAGATGGAGAAAGTGGGCCTCTCTTGCTCAGGTAGACAGACCTCTCAGTTAAGCTTTGCTGCACAGCCCTCAGCCTTCAGAAGACACTGCAGAGACACAGAACTTGGGGGAAGGTGGTAAAACAGATGCCTTTCCAGAGGCACAAGGAGAATTTTGGGCTTAGCTTGGCTGGATTTGCCCAGTTGTCCAAAAGTAGTACACCATCAAGGCCCAACATCCCATTACCTGGCAGAGGTTAAAGAAGGCACTTGCTACTACTCCACATAGATCTCCTGCAGAATAATGAATTCTTCACAGTTAACCTCAACCTGTTCATTAATCAGGATTTTGTTTTTAACGGAGCTGAAACCAGCCTTGCCAGGCTCCAGGCTAGATCACATGGATCATGAACTCTGGTTCCTGTGGATTTGACAGATGTAGAACCCCTCCCACAATTCAAGGGCCTTGAGAAAAGACTCTCAAGAAGATTGTTATTAAAAACAGATGGTGGCCAGGCGCAGTGGCTCACGCCTGTAATCCTAGCACTGTAAGCTAGGGTGGATGGATCACCCGAGGTCAGGGGTGCAATACCAGCCTGGGCAACGTGGAAAAACCCCATCGCTACTAAAAATACAAAAAGTACCCAGGCATTGTGGCTCATGCCTGTAATCCCAGCTACTCAGGAGGCTGAGGCAGGAGAATCGCTTGAACCTAGGAGGCAGAGGTTGCAATGAGCTGAGATTGTGCATTGTACCCCTGCTTGGGTGACAGAGTGAGACTCCATCTCAAAAAATATAAAAATAAAAATAAAATAGATGGTGCTGGATAGACAAATGGACAAGCCCTGATCCAGACTAAGTTAACTAAGTAACTAAATTAGAAGTGTGGCATGATTGCTCTAGAGGTGAAATCTCAGCTAGCTTCAACAATAATTCAACACTTTCCTCCCTGTACCATTTTATCCACACTCATCCACCCCTGCCCCCAACAAGGAGGGACTAGAGTGAGTCACTCCAACTCTGAAGAAGACTTCCTTTGGGAAAGGCTCTGAGACTGTCTCTTCTTTCTTTCCCAGCAGGGAAACAAGATCAGAGAGTTATTCTCCAGGGATCCTAAGGTTCAGCCCTGCTTTAGAGCATGGAAGTGGGTGGGGAGAGGTGAGATTAGTACCTGGAGATCCTTTTTGGGCCCGAGGAAAGAACGGGCCCCCAGGGACAGGGCTGTGTCGGTGTTCCTCTGTGCAAGAGCTACACAGCCAGCGATTGCAGTAGGTGCAAAGGATATGTGCTGTCCTCTTCTCCTTGCACTCGGAGCAGTTCTGGAAGCAGAGAGTTCTGGAGTTACTGGCAATATTCTCATTTAGGTCTGCCTACACAAGTGGCAAATGCTCTAAAAACTGGGGTCCTGCAGGCCTATTCCTCTACTATTTTGGAGTGTAGTCTATTCTGGAGAGCTATCTGGGAGTAATATGTCAGGGCTTGTGAAAGGAAGCATCCTTTGTGAGCAAAAGAACAGTGGCTACGTCAGGTATGGTGGCTCATACCTATAATCCCAGTACTTTGGGAGGCCAAGGCAGGAGGATTGCTTGAGCCCAGGAGTTTGAGACTAACCTGGGCAACATAGTGAGACCCTATCTCCACAAAAAATACAAAAATTAGCTACTGGGGAGACTGAGGTGGGAAGATCACTTGAGCTTAGGAGGTCAAGGCTTTAGTGAGCTGAGATCATACCACTACACTCCAGCCTGGGCAACAGTGGAAGACCCTGTCTCAAAAAAGGAGGAGGAAGAAGGAAGAGGAGAAGAGAGGAGGACGGGGAGGAGGGTAAGGAAGAGGAAAAGAAGGAGAAGGAGCAGCAGCAGCAGCAGCTGTCTCGGGGGCTGTTCACACAAGTCCTGTGACGAAGCTAAGGATACCCAGATGCATAAGCCAAGGAACTGACCTCACACTATCTATAGCACACAGGATGGTATGCATTAACTGTGTAATGCTGTAATAAAAGGGATGCAACACATGCTAAGGAAACCAAGGTAGGCTTCCAGAAACTCAGTCTAGGAGTAACCAGGTAAGTTTTTACAAAGAGGAAACATTTGAGTTGGATACTGAATGACAAGCAGGTTCACCAGGCAGACAAGGGAGGAAAATGTTATAACAGAGGGAAAGCACAGGCAAAGGCAGGAAATTCAGTGTGCTTCAGAGAGGAGAAAGCCCACATATGGGAACACACAATGAGATGGTCAAATGCAGCCAAGAAAGGGCAAGTACAGACCAGCATTCAGAGTTGTGCTCCCACACTTGAGGTCTGCCTGATCTGAGAGTACCTAGGCCTCTCCTAGTCCAAATGTTAATTCATTTAGTAAGCAAATATCTTGCCAGAGCTGATATAAAACCTCAGGAAAAGGGGAAATTTGGAAAAGTTGGCCTATCTGTGCCTGAATCACACAGGTCACCAAACTAATACGAATTCTGAAAGTTTTACTAATTAAACTATGAATTCCTTGAAGGTAGAGTACATGGGTCTATCTCCCTAACACCCAGCACAGGGCCTGGCACAGGCCCTGTGAGACATCCAACACAAATCAGACACAGGAACAAGTAAGTAAATTGGTGAATTAATACAAAGTGGTGGCAAGGATACCCTAGTGGAAAGAGGAACAGAAGGGCTGCCAGCTGTAAGTGATAAAAAAAATTAAGGAATTCAGGAAAAAGTGATAGTGTTTAAATACAGGCAAGATTAATAAACCCATTTAATCCAGGCTGGGGAGACTGAGGTGGGAACATGAATTTCAACTCAGGAAGATAAAAAATAAAACAAAAGCCTAGTACTGGTATTTTTCAGTAAGAGCTATAAGAGAGAGCAGAATAACTAGAGCTACAGTAAGCAATTCTTAATATACCTTAACTCACATTCACCTGCTGCTAAAAGGATTAACAGCAAAAAAAAAAAAAAGTAATTTTTACTTAATAGAAAACCCACTCTTTGCTTTCCCCAACTCACACATTTTTATTTTCTTCTAGATGGATGATTAGGAAAACTGACGGAGAAGTAACAAATCAGATAGAGTGATGGGTGGATAAACAGACTTATGGACAGGGGCCTCACAGATTTTTGAAAAAGATCAGGGGCTTCTTTCCTTGTCCTGACTTACCCTGGCCATCTTGGGTTGCTCAGTAGGAAGACACCACAGGAAAAAAATGTTCAGTTACATCCTTGGTAAGATATACTTGTTTACACCCAGGAGAGGAGATGAGCTCTGTGTGGGAAAGAAAGATAGCAGAGTCAGGGCAACATGGCTGATTATACCCAAGGCCTGGACATGAGGCTTTCTAATACACAACACCAAGATATGTGGCAATAACCATGTGTGCCAAAATGAGCTACATTTGATGCCATAGCCTGCATTTACTATATGGGTACCCTGAACATGACCATCCCATTGGAGCCTTCCCTACAGACCATCTGGGCTCCTCACATCCTTGTCTTTACCTGGTCCTACCTTCCTCCCCTCCCCATAAGCCATGCTACAAGAACAACCCTGCTTTGGTTTTGACAGTCAGGTGCCTTCCTGCTGCTCCCATTCCTCATTCCACATCCCTGAGAGCATAGCTCCCATTACTAGCCAAGATCCAGAGAGTCAGTTTAGCCCAGAGCAAAGCTCCAGTCATTAAGGTTACCATGTGGCAGGGTGACTTGGAAGATCTTGAGCTACAGCCTCCAGAAGGCTTTAGTCAGAGAAAGGCAAGGCCTCCCTGCCTGCTCATCTAGGAGGTATTTTTCTCTTACTACAGCATATACCAGTCAGTCTGCCCCTGAGGCTCTGAGGTCTTTTGGAGGGCTCTCTCTCCCTAGTCCTCCATGTTGGGTATATATACATATATATTTTTTACCTATGAACAGCCTGACCTACTCTCTCTCCCCAGAGAAATACATCCGTTTCTAACACATTCTTCAGCATAGTGGGCTTCGGGACTAGAAAAGCAGCAAAAGACTCCCACCCCAGAGACTATAGTTATTCTGCTGGCCCACCCCAAGAGCAGTTAAGCTACTGGGAACAAGAAAATGAGCCTCTGGAGTAGGGCAAGGTACCTGTGTCCAGGAATGAGGGTGATCTGGAAAGGGGTTGGCTATGGCAGTGAATGCAGCAGTACCACTACAATCTTCTCTGCCTCATCTCTTCAAAATAGGAAAGAATGTTATGATGGCAGTTGCTCCAAGTTACAGTCAGACAAATATAAGTCCAAAGACCAGGCTTACCGGCCTAGGCAAGACACTTAATCTCGCTTAATTGCTCTGTGCCCCGTTTCTTCATATGTAAAACAGAAAGGGAAAATAAGAGTTGCTATCAGATTAAATTAGATAAAACTTCAGAAATCACATGGTCCTCCACGACTTTGGATTCAAAAGTTCCTCATATTTTATTCATAGTAAGGCAATAAATTCAATTATCAACTCTCTGGTGATGAAAGTTAGAATGGTAGATTCAAAAAATGGCTACGAATTCTTCCCCTCCCTCATCCATACCCTTGCAATCCTACCATCAAAAGGTAAGACTCTCCATGAGCTTCAAGTCAGTGATGAGTTTTTTCCTTTTTTGAAAAAGGTAGAACCCTTCACCCTTTGAATCTAAGCTTACCTCATGACTTTCTTTGACCAACAAAATGCAGCAAAAGTGACAAGTTCTCCAAGCCTAGACCTCAAGTGGCCTTATATAATTCTGCTCTTGTTTTTAGAACTCTAAGACTGCCATGTAAAAAATCTAACCTGGTGTTGAGATTGCTGGAAGATGAGAGATCATGCAGAGAGAACTCAGTTGTCTCAGGTATCCCACCTGAGGCCATCACAGATCAGCTAGCCCCAACTAACCCACTAGCTGAACACAGACACAATTAGCTAAGCACAGGCCAAACAAGAAGAATCACCCAGAGAATCCCAGCCCAAGCAGCCAAACTGTAGAATCATAAACTAAATAAAGTTTAGTTGTTTCAACCACCAAGTTTAAGAGTGGCTTGTTATCTAGTAAAAGGTAACTGATACATCCTGGGAAAATCAAAATCCACAAAATCATAAAAAATAATTGTTTAATACTCTCCCACCCCACCAAAAAAAAGAGAAAACCTTTCTGAGTCGTTGCGGAACCACGGGTGTTAATGACAGGACTGCATCTGGAATGTACTGCATGTTCTCCTACCTCTCAAGAATAACTACCAGAGGTGGAAAAGGATGCTCTCCACAGGGAACATTATCCAGGGGAATAAGGGGACTGTCCCTCCTTTCACTTGGCTCACCCTGGGGAGACCTCCTCACTATGCCCAGGACAGAAATGCTACTCTAATTGTTGAAAATGACTTCCACAAGACTTCCCTGGTATCAGATGCCCAAACATCAGTCATCATAACATAGCCTCATAAGCAGAATGAAAAAAGAGAACTGAATAGGTCAGACAAGGTCTCATCACACATTCTCTCCTCCCTTGACCTTAAAGCCAGAGTCCTCAGCTTGGCATTCAAGGCCCTTTGCAAATTGGCCTTATCTCTCTCTAGTCTCATCTTTAGCTTCACCTGCCACACACCCTGTGTTTTTGCCATGCCCAACATCTCTGCTGTCTCTTGATACACCCAACTTTTGCATGATTCTCTGTCCATGAGAAATGCTGTTTCCTCTTCTGAAATACTCTTTCTTGCCCCTCTCCTTTTCAGATAAACTCCTATTCATCCTTTCATACCTGTTCAAATGTTCCACCTTTGAGAAGCAGGGTTAATTTCCCCCAGGATGAGTTAATTAGTCCCTCTTCTGGGTTCCTGCAGCGCCCTGAACATCATTCTAGTACAATAAATATCACATTGCATTTTAACTACCTGTTCATATGTCTGCTTCAAAAATAAACCACAGTTGGTATTAAAGGTTATTACCTGGTTTTTAGCAGATTGAACAATTAGACAGTAAGTCTTCACTTAATATCATTGAGAGGTTCTTGGAAATGGCAAATTGAAGCATGATGACATACAATGAAACCAATTTTTTTCATCATTATAACAAAAGGATGTTTACTTAAGGACTTGCTGTACATTGTTTTTCTTAAAATCACAGTTTCTAAGAATCCAGTTGATGATGGTAAATGAGGACTACATTTCTCTTTTTCTTTCTTTTTTTTTTTTTTAAGATGGAGTCTTGCTCTGTCACCCAGGGTAGAGTGCAGTGGCACGATCTCAGCTAGCTGCAAACTCTGCCCCCCAGGTTCAAGCAATTCTCCTGCCTCAGCCTCCTGAGTAGCTGGGATTACAGGCACCTGCCACCATGCCCAGATAATTTTTTTATTTTTCCACCCCCCCAGGTTCAAGCAATTCTCCTGCCTTAGTCTCCTGAGTAGCTGGGATTACAGGCACCTGCCACTATACCCAGATAATTTTTTTTATTTTTAGTAGAGACGAGGTTTCACCATGTTGGCTAAGCTGGTCTCGAACTCTTGACCTCAACTGATCCACCTGCCTTGGCCTCCCAAAGTGCTAGGATTACAGGCGTGAGCCACCATGCCTGGCTGAAAACTGCATTTCTTTTGGGTTTGTGAGCTCCACGTGTACTCATTGCACTCACAGCACTGAAAGTACTAAGAAGAAACCTGAAAGTTTTCTGGAAAAAAAAAAAAAAAGCCAGTGCAGGTTGATAAGGAAAGCAGAAGGTGGGGGGCTTGGGAAAAACTATGAATTTAAAAATATGGGTTCTAGGGCCAGGGCTGGCAGTATCTAACTACGTAACCTTGGGTAATACCCCCTTTCACTCAACCTGACTTTCTACACCATTAAAATGAGGGGAATAGGAATGCAGGGAAGTACAAATCATCCAACCCATTTACTCTGCCTATCGTAACCAGGCTTTTTTTTCTCCTGGAGGCCAGACATGGTAGCTCACACCTGTAATCCCAACACTTTGGGAGGCCAGGTGGAAGGATCACCTGAGGTCAAGAGTTCGACACCAGCTTGGCCAACAAAGCAAAACCCCATCTCTACTAAATATACAAAAATTAGTGAGGAGTGGGGGTGGGTACCTGTAATCCCAGCTACTCGGGAGGCTGAGGCAGGAGAATTTCTTGAACCTGGGAGGCAGAGGTTACAGTGAGCTGAGATCCCGCCACTACACTCCAGCCTAGGCGACAGAGTAAGACTGTGTCTCAAAAATATATATGTAAATAAATAATAAATAAATTTTTTTAAAAAAAGAAATATTCTCCTGGGCAAGATGGGATGGAACAGACAGCCAACTGGTACCCTGGCTATCATCCTTGTCAGAAAGTCAGGGAACAAGCTTGTCATTGAAAGGAAGCCTGAATTTAAGAGATCAGCCCTCTAAGAGGGGTTGTGCAGCAAAGAGCAGAGATGGAGAATCATTGCAGTGGTGCAGGCACTGTCCCAGGGAGGCTGCGGGCCCCAGGGTGGACCCAAATGACATGTGCTTTCTTTGTGTCACAGCACCTTTGTCCAGAAATTCTTCTCTTCCCTCAGAAGGTCCCTAAACCATCAAGCTGTATCAACCTTGACTTTTTATTTTTTTAGAAGATTCTCCATCTTTCAATGAGGATACCAAAACAAAGTTTTACTTTAGACAATTAGAATATATCAACTTTTAGAGCTGTGTAAAATCAAACATCTACTTAACAATATTTAATATTAATTAGTTATAAATAATATTTAAATCACATTGCACATAAAATATTATTTAGATATCATTTTTTCTATTATATTCAGTTAATAATTATTATTCATGCAACAGTCCCACTCTTGTATTTCACATACAAGAACATCAATTCTGAGAAGTAGAGAGACAGGACCCCGAGTTCACGATTATCCCCATGAGATATGGGGCTTCTGCTTCCAGAATGAGGAAGTCACAGACACCAGAGATGCTCCTGAGAGCCTAGGAGCCTAGGAGAGTAGCTCTGAAAGCTGAGGACATTCAGTCCATCAGTCACAGTGCAAATACTTCTGGTCCTTGAGAGGCATGAGACAAATTTACATCTGTATACCACCGCTCTCTGAACCAGACACTTTACATGTGTAAAAAATTCCCCAGGTGAGGACAGGCACTGTGGCTCACGCCTGTAATCTCAGCACTTTGAGAGGCTGAGACGGGGGTGGTGGGGGATCAAGAGGTCAGGAGTTTGAGACCAGCCTGACGAACATGGCGAAACCCTGTCTCTATTAAAGATACAAAAATTAGCCAGGCATGGTGGCACGTGCCTGTAATCCCAGCTACGCAGGA